AAGATTCTTTCGTGGCATATGCATTGTCCGTGGAACTAGAATTCAGTGTGTGTTCAATGTGCTGGTGAACCAAAAATCTACGATGAAGCAATTTCTTCTACCGAATCTCCTAAATGGTTTGTAGTAATGGAAGAGAAAATACAAAGTCCCCATAAGATGGCACTTGGGATTGTTGTGATGGATTAAGGTTGATGATCGAATAACAAACATAAAACATAAAGAAAACACAGATTTACGTGGTTCACCAACAACGTGTTGGCTATGTCCACGGGCAGAAACGAATAACAAATTTTATTTAGGACGGCTAGTTTACAGATTATAGAGTCGAGACACTTGGCAGCTTGTTAAAATTGGAATACGTGTCTATTTCTAGCATAAGCCTATGCCAATAATATTCAAATCATATATCTAAATCTAAGATATAATATCTAATATTCAAATCATATCCCTAGATTCTAAGGCATATCAACAGAGATCTTATTGAACCTCAGAAGGGTAGACATCCACTATATTGCAAGCGGATATTCGGGAAAGAAAAAAGGCATTTCTGAGGTTGAAAAACTTCGCTGCAAAGCAAATCTGGTCAATAAAGTTGTGTTCTTTTGTGAGTTTTACTAATAGTTTTTACTATTCAGATTTTTTTTTCCTCCAATAATATCACATCAAATAATTATTTTTCTTTTTTTATATTATACTAGAAATTTATTTTACATTCAAAACATCACATCAATCTCTATTTATATCACATCAAATAACTATTTAAATTTAACTTTTTACTATCAAAAATTCAAATCCAAAAATTAAAACCCACAAACAAACACACTTTAAGACATTCAGTCAACTTGAAGGTATAGACTTCATTGAAATTTTATCTCATGTTGTTTGACATACTTCTATTTATGTTTTGCTCGATATTTATTATTGTTATGTTTGATTTGAAGTTGGCGCAACTTGACGTATAAAAAGTCTTCCTTCACAGTGACCTTGAGAAAGAAAATTATAGGGAGCAACCTAAGGGCTTTGTTGTTTTCTAGAAAGAAAATTTGGTGTGCAAAATTTATGATTGTGCAAGTTTTCTGATTGCTAATTTTGTTACTTGTTTTATGTCGATGATATATTAATTGTCTCATATAACATGTATGTATTGTTAAACTAAAATCACAGCTTAGCAACGAGTTTGATATGAAAGAGATGTAATATGTCGATTGTATTGGTGAAATATAAAATTCTTAGTTTAATAGTATTTTAGTTTTTTCTTTTATATGTTTCCTTTTTGGTAAAAATGATTACTTGATTTGATGTATTTCCTTATGCAAAATAAAAATTCAATGTAATATCCATTTAGGAATTAAAATCATAAAAATAAAAAAGATTGATTAATAAACAAAATAGTGACAAAATAAGTATAAAATATAGTTGTTGCCTATTTGATGGTTTATTCTGGAAGACAATAGACTGAAATATTGTTTCATCTCCTCAATCAAAACACATATACGAAATTTTCTAATGATAGCTAACTAACTAACAGCTCAATATTCTTCAAGAGAACTTCCTCTATTTATTTGCAAGAAAGAAACAATGACAGATAATTCTATAGGTTCTGTCTACCCAGTGAAATATATAAATTATCATTTATCTAATGTATAGATCAATTCTCGTCGAGCGGCGCACAAGTTGATCGTTAGAAGAAGCTGCGATGCTCTTGTTTGCGGAATAGCTTCTTCTATGACAAGAATCGAAATAGAAGCTGCAGTCAGTTACCCTCAAATCGAAAAATTGATGAACAAGAAGAACACACACTTGTTTTTTTTTGATCTGGCTGAATGCTTCGATGAAAAATTCTCTCAAATCTTGAATCCAAATCATCCTTTGCTTCTTGGTGGCGGTGCTGTTTCGTTGAGCTTGTTTATGTGATAACAAGAAACTCTGCTCAACCAATTTATTCATCAACTGTTTTTATTTTCTTCTTTGGCAGCTACCATATTGATGGTTAATTTAGCCTAATAGTCTGCAAATTAAAATAGATAAGATAAATCACACTAGGCGAACTGTGATCTGAAGCGTTCGAGATTTGAAACCATGAACTCATGATCACGAGTTTACCCCACATCACCAGGTCATCGATCCCTTACCTAAGATTAATTTAGACACGTAGTTGAATCTATGTAAGATCATATAAGACTATGAACAATGATCAAATTCAATATTCACTACAACAAAAAATTATTTTTATAACAAGATTTTTTTGTCTTTAAATCTACTTTTTCCATTACTAATGACATTAGCAATGAAATTACGTTAGCTACGTGAACTTTAGGAACGAAATTCCGTTACAAATATATTAATTTTTTTTTTTTTAAGTGATTAGGGTGTTGGAAGTTAACTCAGACACTGTTTGGTTCATATCTAAAAATTATATTACCCAAGATTTTCACTCTGATATTTTTCTTATTTGTAGTTAAACACTAGTCATCTCTCTCATTACATATTAATTTTTTAGTAATTATTTTCAAATAATTTTACTAACTTATGATTTTATTTTACAAATTTGAAGTAATTGAAATTATTAATTTTTTACATGTACATTATGTTATTTGTAAAGTATATAGATTTATTAAAATCTAATGTAAAATAAAAAAATATTATTAATCTATTTTATTTATAGTTTTTTTATTACATAACTTTTATATTAAACATGAATATAATAAAATAAATTTAATGAAAATTATAAGTACAGTGAAATAATAAATTAAACAATAATTAACATAATAAAATATATATACATACAAAAGAATTTGTTATTTTATATTTTACGCTATTTTCAATAAACAATTACAAATATTTTTAAATAAAATGATATTATATTTTCTTATAAAACATTTAAAAAATAATGGAAAAAAAAATTCTAATAACACTTCCACATTATCTGATAACTAATAACAAAAAGTTTAAAAAAATTTAGCCATTAAAAGAATGCAATTAAATATTATAAAAATAGAATATTAAATGTCTTTTAACATATAAACACACTAGTATAAATAACTAATATATTTAACTAATTTAATTACGGAACAACTAACGGCCAAACATTCCTTAATTTTAGAAATGTTAAATTGACAAAAAATAAAAAAATAAAAAAATCTTATGTACACCAAGATCTAAAATTATTTTTAAAATTTTAGTTGTTAATGAATTTGATCAAATATTCTAGTGTATATTTTATTAATTATATATAAATATATCTTTTTGTTATAAATTTTTATTATATCTAAATGAATCTTAGGAATTGACGGAAGGACACCACAAGAGTAAGCCTGCAGCTTAATTTGACTCAAAACAAGCCGTTTGGGCTGCCTTGAAGTACAATTTGCATCGAACGACGGGTAGAATTATTTGAAGATAATTTAAATAATGTGACGGGGAATTGTAAGCGCAGAGTGACCTTTTATACGAATTTATTTCCAATACCTTCTTCTAACATATTGAATTTATTTTATCCTATATTTTAAATTTGAAACTTTGACAATATTCATTTAAAAACTATTTCAATTTAACATGACTTACATATATGTTTACAGAAATTTAATTTTATAGATGAATTTAATAAAACAATTGAATTATATTTAGTTTATATATCATAAGTTTTTGAAAAATAAAAATATTACATTCGAGAAGAACAAAAGTACTCACAAATAATAAATATCTAGAATCGTCAAAATGGGCTAAGCTCGTTTGGTTTGTGCGCCTTGCCCTGCTTTAAAGGAGGGTTAGGCTTAATTATCCGGTAGTTCTCATCCACTACAATGTTCTAAATAGTGTGTTGTGGTTTGTTGAATCTCAATTTATCTCGAAAATTCTAATATTTAATTTAATCGTCCAAAATCGATTGATATATGGTGATTTGGTTTTGGATAAGACTACGAACTTTGCAAAGATTGTAAGAAGTCAACTGTCAAGATAGGATAAAACTATCTCAAATGTCTGTACTCACGGCTCGCCTCATCAAGCCCCGCCAATTGGCTCACTCGTCAATTTAATTTGACAACTCTAATCTTGAATTTTATTGTCCAAAACTTGAAAATTAATGATTTGACTTTCGATTAAATTAAAACTTGGTTAGTAATGTAAAAATTCAAATAAATGGCATAAAACTATCTTAATAGTACTTATAGAGCTGCCAAATAAATTAAACCCATTGGCTCGCCAAAATCTACGAAATTGTGTATTATAGTAGATTGACTTATTCGCTAACCTGTTTTGACAACTCTATAAATAATTACAAAGACGGTGAAAGTACCACAATTTGTTATATCATTTAACCATAAAGGCCGGGCTTTGCGATTTTTTTTTTCTTTTTTATTTGTGCAAAATAATAATCCTTCGAAGATATGTTTTGAATGAGAAAGTCCTTTGCAATTTTTCACGATGAATTTCACAAAATTTTTCTATTCCAATGTTCTTCAACGACAAACAAATGAAGAGAAAGAATGGAATCCGTCGGCGCCGACAATGTTTTTCTATTCCAATGTTCTTCAAGAATTAAATGATGAAAAGAAGATTGCTACAATTCATATTTAGGACTTCGAAGATTTCCCAAGCACCAATCCAGTTCGTAATTACATAGTAGAGAGACGACGGCTGATATTCTATTGTTCATGTCGATCCCTTCCGAAAGCATTTCTCACTGCCAGTGAAAGAAGTAAAAACCATATCACAAGGGACCACTCAACACTCTAAGAAGTCACTGAAAACTTTAGAGGAAAGTACAAGACGATTACTTATTTTTAACAAGCTTAAAAGCTGAGTAAACTTTAATTTCGAAAACTTTCATGATCTTGAACATTTACACATGGCCTTTTTAGGTAGTGAATAAGAAATAAAATTCAATAAACTGAAAAAACTTGAAATAATTTTTATTTTTATATTGAAACTAGACTTTATGGTATATTTTATACACTGTAATTCTATGCACAATAAATCAGTTTATTTGGTAAATGTACCTGAAGGTTCTGCATCATTCTGAAATTCTCCCGTATCCATATTCTGATCCAATTGAAGATTATCGCCGGCTGGCATAATCCGATCCAACATATTACTCGGTAAGTCCATTGGAAAATCATTATTCAGGTTGTTCGCAAGTTGTGGAGCACAAGAAAGGTTGTCGTGGAAGGACCAGCTAAAAGACTGTTCAAAGAACGATAGCATCGATTCAATTTGCACCAAATAACTTCGGCGTGACTCTGCATTCTCTAAGTTCAATGAAAAATAACTTTTCTGACTCTGCCTAGTCGGTAGGCCTTGCTCTTGTTGAGCATAATGGGTCTCGTGATGATGCTGTGTCATGGATTCTTGAACGTCGTCGCTGCAACCAACAATTTCCTGAGCTGTAGCATCAGAGTAGTTTCTATTGTTTGGATTTGGCACGCCTAAACTGTATTTCTGGAGATGACTCGAAATATTCGCCATTGTGATCGAAGGGTCTCCCATCAGTTGGTAAATTTTATTCGGGGTAGCTTCTGCAAACAAAAGAAAGTGTTGTCGGCCAACATGGATAATAAAACGATAAGGTAATGATCGTAATGAACAAAGAATATATATATATATATACTCTTGATTCCTCCTATCTTTTCGATTGCTTCAAGGAACCTCTTATGGCAATCATCGGTCCAAACATATCTTGGCTTCTTGAAATCACTATTTTCATTCTCGATTTCCATGCCTTCTTCTTGCAGTAAGATCTTGATCGAAGCAGCCAAGAAACCCCAAAAATTTAGAAATCAGATGCAGCTGAAGTTTCTTGCAATGAATAAAATCGTAGAAGAAAATGGATTAAGTAACAATGATGAATACTGTACAAGAAGAACAACAGAAGAAACTCTTATATATAGCATTCGATCTCACCTTTAAAAAAAAAAAAAAAAACACCTGGCGATAATTCGAAAATATATTAGGCGGTTTTAATTAAAAAAAAAATGGCTATTTTCAATCACCAAATTTTAGGTGTGTATTCATTTTGAATTTTATTGAATTTAAAAAAATATATGAATTTATGTGATTTAGAAAATTCATATTGTCTTTATATGGATTTTATCGTATTATCTCGTGTATATATATATATAACATATATCATATTATCATATTAATCATATCATATCATATTAATCATCATATCATATTACTATTAATCATATATATACCACAAGACATTTTAATTCGTGCACTCTCGTAATTTTGGAATTTTTAAGATAATAAATAACAAAATAGTATAAAATTAGGGTTTTGTATATCTATATATACCTAAGAGATTAAGTCAAAATTGCTCTAACAAAAATTATTATGAGATTTTCGTCCAACATTGCGCAGGTTCGGAAAAACGGTGATCCCGACCAATCAGAAATTTTCAAGAAGTGTTCGTAATTCGTTGCTTTTTCAAATGTTGGGATTATTGGTTAGATACATGTAGTTCGATCATAATGACAAAATTTTAAGGTTTGTTTTTTTATCTTTATTTTTTTTAAATATGTGATTTTTATTGGTTGATTTAACGATGATTGAGTATGTTGATATGTTATAATGAATTTTCTATTTTTTGGTTTGGACAACGCATGATTTTTTATTTTACTATGTCTTTACCTTTTTTAAGGGTTTTCATGTGATTATCTTTTTTCGTATTTTATTTACTCCTATAATTTGTTATAGGAAGTGAATGATTTTCTACATGAAAAAATATCATTATTTCTTTTATATATTATTTATGCATATAAGTTTTTATAATTCCTTATATAGTAATAATTTTATAATAAATTTGTTTTTGTTTACTTATAAATCTTAAATTATATGAAAAATTTTACTAATCAATTTTTTTATTCCATATTATGATGCAAAAACATCTTAAAAAAAAGAGAATGAGAAGAAAAAGAAATAGAAGAAAAAGAAGAGAAGTAGAAAGAAAAAAAATCAGGTATAATATTTTTTGTCTTTTTATTTATTTATTTTATTATGTATAATAATTTTATTAAGTTAATTTTAATTTTCTACTAATATATTCTTTGTATTCTTATTATATATTTATTTTCAAATTTATTCAGTTTCGAGTATAATGTTCTAATACTTCACTATTATTGTATATGTATTTTTTAAAATTATCTATTGTGTTATCCTATTTTCTACTAATTATTATTTTTTTTATCTCTATTATGTTTGAGTTTAAATTATAATATATATTTATGAAATTTTTGATTCGCTTACTTAATATTTTTATTTGATTTGATTTAATTACCGTATTTTTTTTATAGTTTATTTTTTATATAAATTAATTTTTGGCCATTTTCATACAAAATTTTATTATCAAAATAAAATTTATTATTTAAAATATAAAAATTAAATTAATATCATAAATTCTATAATTACCTGTGCATAACACGGGTAATAGGCTAGTATCATATATATTTGACATGGCATTTTAATTGGTGCCCTCAAGTAATTTTGAAGTTTTATTTTATTTTTTAAATAATAAATTTGAATAATTAATTAAAAGTTGTTATTAATCTAATAAAATTCAAATTTATTGAAATAATAAATAACAAAAATATGGATAAAATTAAAGTTTTGTATATATATATATACTTAGTTTTAATTTTAGAAATGATTTGATTTTAAAAATCATATATTGTTTATTATAATCATAATCTAATATATTTGTATACTATTTCAAATAATAGTATAATTTGAAACGATCTTTATTATTGTTTTAATTATTATTAATATGTTGGTCTTTCAAATACATTTAATAGATGATAATATTGTACAATCTTCAACCCCGATAAATGATAAGTATCGTGTTAATGATAAGTATTTTTTTTTCTATTTTAAAAAAAAAGTAATCATACACTAAAACTAAAATATCTTTAATTTTTACTTAAATTACAAATATATTATTACACATATAATTATTTTATACATAAAATCAAAGAGAAAAATTAAAAGAATCTTACACATTTACACATACAATACACATAAATTAATATTGCACGGGACCAGCCAGGCTCGTTGCAGCCCGGGAGCTCCGCAAGGAGGGCCGAACCGTCGTCGTGCTCGAGCAGAGCCACGATGTCGGCAGGCAATGGCTCTACGATGCTGACGTGCAAGACGAGGACCCGATGCCCGACACATTCTTGAAGGTCCACAGCAGTATCTACACGTCATTACGGTTGGCGTTGCCGAGGGAGATCATGAGGTTCACCGATTTCGCGTTTTCGGCGACGGAAGGCCGTGACGGGAGGCAGTTCCCGGGCCACCGTGAAGTGTTGTTGTACTTGCAAGACTTTTGCGACTGGTTCGGGTTGAGGGAAATGATCCGGTTCTACACAAGGTTTGAGAATGTCGAGATGCTCGATTATCCGGCGGCGGCGGTCGAGAAGGAGATGAAGTGGGCTGTGAGGAGTAAGGTGGAGAAGGCCGTCAAGGAAGTTTACGACGCGGTGGTTGTCGCCACCGGACACTATTCTCATCCGAGGTTGCCTAAAATCAAAGGTATTATGATGTGATTTTTTTAGTGTATTTCTACTATTTGAACTTTACGATTTTAACGAAAATATATATATTTTTCTTTTATAAGTTATCACATTAAAAATACAAATTTTCAAATTTAAGATTACTCGAAATTAAAAGACTTGCTGCAGGATAAGAAAAACATAATGTCCATATGTCAAAATTAACTTAGAGAGTATTTATTCACAAGGTTTTGATATTTTTACCCATAAAATTAATTGTATATGTAGTAGTATATTTGTAATTTAAATAAAAGTTAAAAAATATTTTAGTATATGATTACTTTTACTAAAATAAAAAATAGATATTTTAGAATAAAATGAACGAAAATTATAAAAATATTACTTTGAGTCGGAACATAAGAAATATAAATTAATTAATATAAAATAATATATTTAAAATGATATTTTTATAAAAGCAATAAATAAGTATTAAATAAAAATTTATATAACAAAATTTAAATACTATATTTAATAAAATACATATATACATATATAAATATAATATACTATTATATAGTATAAATATAATTATTATATTAATTAAATATAAAATAATTAAACAACTATAGGGCACGAGCAGCCGGAGGAACCGCACAGTGCGTCAGACCCTTTTTGTTTTTAGATAGAAATCCCGCCGCTGTTATGAAAGTGCACACCGGTAAACTCTCCCATTATTAAGGCCGAGTCGGTGGTTGGGCTAAGTAGTGGCCAACTCATGAGATTTATTGAGGAACTTGTTAGATTAAGCTTCAATCAGCTAAAATTTCCAACAAAATTTTGTACGATTCTTAAATTCTAACTTAAACTTGGATCATGATCAACATATATTAAAATTTATGTATTTTATTCAAAAATATTATAATGAAATAATATAAAAAAATTAAACTCATAAAATATTTTTAATATAATTTATATTGTCTAGGTCTGGATAGAGTCCACCCTTAGACTTAAGACCCGACTCGAACTCGATAAGAATACAAAATATCTGATTCGATATCTGAATAATTAGACCCAATCACAAATAAATAGATTGGATCTCGAGTCTCCTCGAACCCACTATCATACCTAATTAAAATCATTAGCTTAGCTTTATGGAAACAAATTTCATAATTCTTAAATTTGGTCAAGTAATATAGCACCCATTTTGTATTTTCTTTTTTTAAGGCAATGCATATATTGTTATAGTTCACCAACAAAATAAGAAAGGTCCTATTGTGAATGGGTGAGGAACATCAATCTTTCAACCCGACTTCTAGGGTCAATTCCTGGCTTTCGATGGTCTTGGGCCGAAACAAAAATAAGGATCCCCTAATTGGAAAAATTATCCGACAATGGCGCGGAAGTTGGCAAAGGCATGGGTCCGGTACCACTGCCAAAAAATAATATATTTTTAATGGAATTTTGTCCCTAAAGTTCACGCAATTAACATAATTTCATCCATAATTCCGTCTCTAATGTCATTAGTTAAAAAAAAATGGATTTAGATACTAAAAAATTTCGTTACAAAAATGATATTTTCTTGTAATCGTAGCACCGAATGAGCAAAGAACTGAAAATTATTTAGCATTTATAGATATAAAATCTAGATTTTAGAATAAATACTAAACAATGTCCTACACGTTCAATCTATTTTTGAGTCATGTGTACTACTTGTGGCGTTAATTCAGAATATATATATATATATATTAAATTTATCAATATGTTCAACTTTTCTCAATGCTTGCGAAACTAGAAATTTTATTTTGGTTAATATAATTTGTATGAAATTATATTAACTATTAAGTTTTAAGTTTTAAGACAATCTTTTAAATTTTATGCCTCTCTATTATGTAATGAAGAATATTTTAATTGATATTTTTAAATATAGTTTTTAATTTTTTGGATGATCAGTTGATCTTATTCAAAAATTTGGATATTCGTAACTTGAGAATTTTCGATTCATAAATGGATTGAATTTTTTACTATCCGAAAAATCGGATCGGATCGGATATATCCGAACGAGCACTCCTAAGTCAAAACTAAAGTGATGTAATAAATAGAAAAAATAGTGACAAATAAATAATGAAATTGTGGGGTGCACAAATTTATTTAGTGCATAAATTTAGTGGATAAAAAAAAAATGATATAATTATAACGGATTATAATTTTAACTTTATAAAATATTT